AATGTGAACATGCTTCTTAGCCTAAGAAAGTGGACTTTAGCATAAACGTGGTGGAATTAGGACCTTTGAATGTTTCCTGCCCTGATTTTTCTCTTTATGTTGACTTGTTAAACTTTTCTTTGTATGTTTAAGTTCTCCTGCTCAGAGGTTGAAAGTACAGAAATAGAAAGTAACTTTTGTAGATTCTAGTAGATTTACTAGTTTCTTCAATGAACTGAAGACAAGCAGATAGAGCTCCTAATAAGCATAGGGAATTCCTAATAGGAAAAGGTTGCTATCCTTCCACAGGGGAGGCAACAGGTCATGCATTTTTCCTTTCAGTAGAACAGAAGTAATCTTTTGTCCTTACTTGCTTTGTCCTGAAACTTACAGTACCTCCATTCAGCCAAAATTTTCTGTGCTATTCCTCAGCCTTAGATCTGGATTTAAACATCTACAAAGGCTGGTATGCGGAGACTGGCTTTGGGTAGGGCCATCTCTAAAGAAATAATGTACATGCACACAAATTACATAAACCAGTTGTCTTTGCTTGCTAGGCTAGAATCAGCTTTTACAAACCGGACATTTTTTCCTGGAAGTTTTGTATTGTTGTTTTCTAATAACATATAATCTTTTAGTTGGTATAGTTGGTATACTTGCTTGGGGTAAATCAAAGAAATCCTTTGTGGGGATAATATGTAGGTAAAAGCAGTTAAGTGGATAGAAGAGTTTAAATAATGGATGCTGTTTGTACAATATTAAATTCTAGATATAAGCACTAACCTTCTTTTACCTGTTCTTATGCTGTGATCAATTTCCATGCAAAGGCTCATGTTATGGAACAGCCTGTACTCTTTGTGTTGTCCTAGTTATTCCATGACCTGTCACCTGGAAATAAATTTGACAGAGGGCTAATTGCCTTTAATGGTGATAATTCTGTTATCTTATGCATTTCCTTTGATCAGATAAGGAAACTGATGAGTTAATGAATACAGAATTTTATGAAACATATTGCAATTAAAATGGCTGTTACTTTCTTAGGAGAATTATAAAGTGTTTGTTGTGCAGAATATAACTGTACTGCCACCTATAAAACTGCATCGCTAAAGGATTCATCTGTCGAATGAGTAAGGGAAAGTTTGCACCTTAACTGTATGTCATTAACTGTTCATCTGCTTTGGTGGGATGAAGAACATGCTGGAGTTTTCTGAAATTGTTTAACAGCATTGTAGGCTCTTAAACTGCAATGCTGACAGCAACATATGGCTGTATTTGAGTAATACAAATGGAACTGTTTGTACTTTGAGTATTTTATTCATCTGTGGAATTTAAATGGGCCAGACAGCCAGAATTTAAGTCCTTCAAAATTCAGAGATGTTTCAGTTTCAGTTTTGACCTGAGTACCACCTCCGAGGAAAGCATATTTATGTCTGTCCAAAAGTCCTTTAAAAAGGTCCTCTCCAATAATGTCCCCTTTTTCCCACGTGCGTTTGGTAAAGGCATTCATGTCCTAAATTGCACCTACTAGAATATGTGTCTTCTATTATTAGGTAAGAAATATAAAGATATTTATCCACTGCAGTATGTTAATAGCTAGCAGATTTTCAGTTATACAGTGTTAAGGTCATTAGAGAGCTGACCAGAGCAATGAAACCTAGTTTAGATCAGGGTATGAATAAAGGCTTTAAAGAAACCATATGCTAGCAGCAGTGCCTGAGTGTAAGCATGGAGGTGTATGAACATTTGATAGAGTTGTGATTAAGCAAAATTATAAAACAACTTCAGACTTAAGTTAGGGAAATAAGACTGATATCATGAAATAAAAAGCTAATCTTTTCCCCCTATTAGGTATTGGTATGATTGAGTATAATACAGTCTTGGTGTCTAACTTAATGTTGCTGCCCATACCAGAAGAAGAATGTGGAGCAAGGAGAGGATTTTCAAAGGAGGGACAAATAAAAGACTGGTGGAGTAGGAAGGAAGGCTTAAAGCTTGATTTATGAATTTAGAGGAAGTTAGAAAAAAATTGAGTTTATATGCTTAAATGAGGTGAAATTACTGGGCATAGAATTTGGTTTCCAAAACTGAAAGTCCTGTGGTAAGAATCTAAAATTAGATAAATTAAATCTTGAAACAAAGCGAGTCATGCTTACTGGGAGGGAAGATACATACAGGAACATGTTATCAGTGGAGATAGGAAGCTCTTCATTATTTGGACTCTTAAATATTAGCATGTGCTGATTCACTGAAGGGGATGAAGTTATGTGGCCTGATCAGATAGAAGTTTGGGCTAATTTCAAGTTTTCTGGCCTTGAAATTTGATGACCGAATCCTCATGAATCCTCCAATAGAAGCTTGCAGATTATCAAGCTTCAGGAGGTGTTAAGCACCTTGCCTTCAGGGGCTCAGGAGAGAATGTCTGCATCCCATGGACAACAGTTGGATGGGTCCTGAGGTTTTGTGCTTTGAATAACAGTGATTGATGATATAGAATAGATTTTATTGCCTTATAATGACATAGGATCATGAGAGGTTTAACAAGGAATTAGTGTCTTGGAATAGATTGAGGAATTGTGTATAAATTAAGATTTTGTTACCTTGGCCATGCAGGTGTTACAATAATATGGTACTTGTCTGATAATTTTTGAAGTATGGGATTGTTCTATGAGTATGTGTATTGTACCGTCACATTCTGGGTGATGCTCTCTTGTTACTTGATTCTCTTAAGAATCCATGAATGAGTAGCTCTCAGGAATGTTTGACAGAGCTCTGACTGTAAACTGTAATTTGAAATGTATTAAAATTAAACAGTCAAAGCAGGTGTCAGATCAAGGCTGATAGCAGCATTAACAAAAAACCTCTGCTGTCATATCTTTGCTTTAATAAAGCATTTGCTTTTCCCACAGGTGATGAATTTAGCTCATGTTTGAAAGCTTTAGCAAAAATCATCCCTGCCAAATTTTAGATTTTGCTCCACTGAGATACTTTCTTCATTACTTTTGTTTTTCTAAGCAGATATCAGAAAAAACCCTAAACATGTGAGTCCTGATATAGGTGCAAACAAATAACTTAGTGATGAGCAGCACCTGCTTTGATGTAGCTGGGAGGGGTAGTGGAAGGGGAAGCAAAGATTTGAGCAAGTGGAAAAATGACTATAGATGCTCTAAGCATGTAAATTTGGAAATAGACCTTTTTCCTCTCATTAGTGCCATTTCATTTTCTCTTTGATTTACTTAGACCCTGACTGTGTTATGCTAATTCTGTTGGAAGGGCTAGTAATTATGGTCAGTGGTGAGTAATGTTAAGAGTGTTCACAGAAATCACTGTAGTTCTCTTCAGAATTTCTACCTTATCTGCAGAGGAGAATTTACCAGCACCGGTAGAATTTAAATTGGTTTAGTTCAACTTGATTAAGTTGCAGGGTGGATGCTGTTACTTGGAATACACAAACTTAATTTGGTTTTCCTTCATTTGTTTGAATTAAACAAATTCAGGCTACCTATTCTGAATGAATACTCTTTTACAGGGGTGTAATTCACTCTTAATTCGGTATAAATTTAGACCTTCTGCTAGTCCAGATTAGTTTTCTCCAGGGGAGTCTGTTTTGTTTGGAGTTTGGTTTAAATGTCAGGATGTGCAACTGAAGCAAGAAAGGCATAAATGAAATATGAAATATAAATGAAATAAGTATGAAAAAACCCCATAGTTATGTCAAACAAATGTCTGTCTTAAAAGACAGGGCTTTTAAACAGCACTTAAAAAAAAACAACTTAAAAAAAAAACCGCTTTAAAAAAACCCATAATTTAGTCCCAGTAGTAAATTTGGCATTTATCCAAATGGAAGGACATACTGTTAGTTTAAATCAGAATGGTTGTACCAATTTTGGCATACCGTTTGCTTGTTGGTTCAGGGAGAAAAGAAGTTTTCACTTTTATGTTATGCTATTTTGGAAATGATAGAAATAAACCTAAAGCAGATACACTTTTGAAGAGATGCATTATTGTATCAGAAAGTTGGTACAAAGTGTTACACTTGTATAATTATATCAGTGTAACAAATAAGCACAATGCTAAAACAACTTCAGACAATTGAAATAATCTTTTAATTGGTTGTAGTAGCTGCTGATGAGAGCAATTACGAACAGATTACTCTCCAAAAGGCCATTTTTTATATTACTGTATCAAATTTGATTTAGAGATGGTTGCCTAAAATCAGAAAATTAAAAAATTAGGCAGGTAGAATTATCCAAGGTTTTTTTTTTTTTCCCATTTTGCTATTTGTACCCAGGCATAAACCAGCAAAGTTGTACTTTAGACATCTTTAATCATAGGTAATCCTAGTTATGTGAAACGCATTGTGGAATAGTCATTATTCAGTACAATAAAAAAAATAATAATTCCAATTTAAGTATCTATTTTTTGTTATATTGCTATTAATTATGTAACCAATTAGTATTTTATTAATTAGATCTAAAAAATATTTAAATTTAAATGCAGTTATGATTTACAGCAATTGGAAACTGCTTGCAGAATAGAACTCTGAAAATGTTTATGTTTATTAGCGCTGTTTTGTGACTGGGCTCAGAGGTCTGAGAGAATGGGTTACAAAAATAAAGAATATCCTTAAATTTCTTTTGGTACTGGAAGTTGCTTGGCTACAATTCCAGCATAATCATAGAATGATTTGGGTTTGAAGAGAACTTTAAAGATCATCTGGTTCCAAACCCTCTGCCACAGGCAGGGATGCCTTCTACTACACCAGGTTGCTCAAAGCCCCTTCCAACCTGGCCTTGAACACTTCAAGGCATGGGGCATCCATAATATCTTTGGACAACCTGTTCCAGTGTCTCACCACCCTCACAGGAAAGAGTTTCTTCCTAATATGTAATCTAAATCTACCCTCTAACATAAGTCACTATAGGATAGTTAAGGTTCAAGGTGAGAAACACAGCTATTTCTGTATTTAATGTTATTCTGTTAATCACTGAGATCCCATGTTCTGCTTTGTTTCTGCAGTCACTAGTTAAATGGAAGCCATTCCTGGGATCTGGATGGTTTCTACTGACATAGACTTTGCATAGCAGCTCCGTTACATCAGGAGGTTGCAATGAGTGGAGGAGGAGAGCAGCCTGACATCCTCAGTGTGGGAATCTTGGTCAAAGAAAGATGGAAGGTGGTGAGTATGCATTCCTTCAATTCTTTTTCTTCTTTAAAACATGTTTCTAAAAACAAGTAGTTTGTGCTTTGAAATCTGTTACAAAATTCTTGTGAGATGTATTTTACTTAATACTTACGGTGAAAGGACTTTAGAATCACTTGTTTCTCTTATCCTGCTTTAAAAAGAAGCTATAAGGTGGTTTTTTTTTCTGGTAAGGACTGAGGAAAGCATTTAAATCCTGATTTACTGCCTGTTAAGAGCACAACTGAAGGAATCCTGTTAGTTCATTGAATCCAATCTGCCAGTGATTGTGTCAGTCTGTTTTGGAAATCAAGTCAGGCACCCTCATGAAACTAGTCAGATTGTGAGATTTGTTACTACTTATAGGAAGATCTTGCAGGACCTTACTGCTCTTCCAACTACAAATTATTTTTGTTTGTTATATTTTATAGCACACATGTATTCCTGGCTGATTTATATCCATTTGATTGTGTGCCACTCTTCGTTTTACCATACATAGCTCTGTCCCCGTTTGGTGTTCATATCTTTAATTTACATACAGAGGAAAATAGTATGCATTTGAAACTATTTTTGCTGGGAAGACAAGGCGGAGTTCTCAAAAGTTCCTTCTCCATTCCTCTCATCATTTTTCTGAGATTTAAAAAAAAAGGGGAGGGGGGGAAGGGGAAAAAAGCCATAATAAATAAAAATATTCATAATAGAACATTTTGGGAACATTTTGGATATCTCTGTGTGTTTAGCAGGGTATGAATGAATACTGAATCACTCTTTTTTGTACTGTCTTTGCTTTATATTACTCCCATATTTCAATCTTTTATTAAAAACTGTTAAGACTGAACATGGAAAATACAGATTCATTGCTCATTTCAAATTCATAGAGAGAAAATAATTTCAAGTATCCTTCATTTAAAAATTCAGGAAGCTGGTACTAGCTTTGTGTAGGAAACCTTTACATTTCTGTTTGTGTAAACAGAATCTAAGTGGCTATCTTTGGAGTGTAAATATTTGTAAAATACCTGTCTATATTGCATCTCAGTATTGCAGTGTGATAACAATTGTAAATATAGTCTTGAATCAGAATAAAATAGAATTATGAAGAGATAACAGTGTGCTATTCACAAAACTACTCAATTTGTCTGGTATGTGGAAAAACAGTCTTGTTTTCTTCAAATTTATTTTCTTTCCTGTGTTCTGAAGGCTGATGATCAGCTGTCTTTTGGAAAACTTTAAGGGTAGGCTGTTGTTCTTTTCATATGATTATATATTTTAAATATTATGGTTTCCAAATCAAGTGTTACAGGTGATGATGAGTGCTAAATACCGTGTTTGGTTTTATTAATTCCTGCAGCAAACATGAAGGATTTCTTGATGGCAGTTAAGGGGATATACTTCTTGAATTCAGGATTTCACAGAACAGTCTGCCTGTGGAAGAAAGTAGCATGCAAATTTCAGACATTTCGTGGTGCTTGTCGCATGTGTATTAACAGAGTTAATACTGTTCTGTTAGGTTATAAAGTATTGAAGCTTTTTGCTAGTGTTCTTGAAGCAGCAGAGTACTTAGAATTTCCTTGTGCAGAAAGATGAGGTGGTATAAAGCAGTGGACTTTGAAGTTCTGGTGACAATGAGTAATGTCCCAACTTATCAGTTGAACGCTCTCAGTGCTCTGCTTTCTTTTTCCTCCCATTGAAGAATGGCAGCTCTGTAGTATGATTGCAAGGGATTATTTTGTTGTAACCAGGTAAAAATATAAAAAGCACAATTTCTGGAAGTTATGTAAATATTTACGGGTAAAATGCAGTTTTCAGAATTTTTGGTGCTTAGGACCTTGGTCTTTGTAATTGTGAAAACATACCTGAAATTTGTGGATATGAGCACTTTTAAAAACTATGCTCAATTAATTTTAACCTGTATATGTACTTTAGGATGATTTAGTGTGAGATGTCCCTGCCCATGGCATTGGGGTTGGAACTAGATTATCTGAAGGTCCTTTGCAACCCTAACTATGCTACGATTCTATGATTCTATTTTGGGATGTAAGCATAGAAAATATTTTTTCCTTAGTGACACCCTCCCTGTCCACTGGTCTCTGTATCTATTAACATGTGCTTTAATCCTTTGTGATGTCTTTTCTCATCCCTCTTTTTTGGCTTTTGAAATATTTATTATATTCCTGACTTGGAGAGACTTGATTGTAGTGGTAATTTTTTTTTTAGGTAGGTTTAAAGATGCCATTCAGTATGTAGTGTAAGCAAAAGTATCAAGATTTAACATGTTGAAAATTGGATGCTCTGGATTTGAAGCATACAGAGTATCGAAGAGAGGATGACTTTGGTGTGTGAGATGATGATGCAGAGACAAGAAGCTTGAAACTAATGTACAATGTGTAAATTAGGGCAATGTGGTCCTTGTCAAGGTTAAAGATGTTGAGCCAATGAGGCAGGAATCCAGCATGGTTTAACAGGCAACTCCTGTCTAAACTCAAGAGCAAAATGCAAGTGAACAGAAGGTGGAAGCAGGGATGAGCTGCCCAAGATTAGTATGGAGATATTGCCTCTCTGTGTTGGGATGAAAAACAGGAAAGCCAGAGCTCAGCTGGCATTTGAAACTGGTGAGGGATGTGTAAAGCAACAAGAAAGCTTTCTACAGGGACATTGGCAGCAGAAAGAAGACCAAGGAAAATGTGGCCTTATTCCTGAATGTGGTGCGTGACCCAGTGACAAAGCCGTGTCAGATACTTTTCTCTACAGTCAAAGAGAGGTTCTTCATGTCTTTGTGCCTGGAATTATTGACTGGAGTCATTATTGGATGTATGTTGATGATTCTGCTGTACTTTATCTGAGGATAGAAATTGATCTGGTTATTTTATTAGTGTGGTTGTGTGTTGTGGTCATGTGTTAGTTTTTGTTTGGGTGCTTTTGTTTTTGTGGGTTTTGTGGATTTTAAAAAGCAGGAAAAAAACCCTTTCAGAGGCAAACTTTCTCAGTCTGGCTGGTTTTCAAAGCTGGTAAATGAAGTTATATGATAAACCGTTTTAAGTTTGTATAGGGGTGAGGATGGCTGCATCACCTCTTTCCATTTCCCCTCTCACCTTTTTCACCATGCATTCTCATTGCCTCTGTTGTGCTTGTACTATGCTGAAAATTTATTTGCTTATGCTGAAAACTTCAGTCAGATTGATGTCTCTGTTTAGCTGTCTGAGCCTTGCTAATAGCTCAGAGCTTGGGCAAGATAATGACATTACCAGACCAAGAGGTGGAACATAAAAATGCAGGTTTGAAATGGCAAAATTAGTTCTGAATCTACATATTTGAGAGATACACATACAAACCCACATACTTTTCCATATTAAAAAAAAATATTATAAAATCTTGTTAAAACTTGCTATTTTCCCCAATATTTAGATGACAGATACCATTCCTTTCTCCAAGGGCTAACACTCTATATATTAAATACACCTGAATGTAACCGAGTTGTACAGACTATTTCATCAAACTTGTAAGGTTTCTGTTTCTCATGATTTGTTGTTACTTCAGAGGTAACCCTAGATTCTAGCCTTAGTAGTACCTTAAGCAAGTCATGTCCAAAGACACAAACTTCTTATTCAGGATTTCTGATTCTCTGTTCCTGAACTTGTTACGTTCTTGGAATATGTAGGTTAAAGAGTAACGGTCTTAAGCCTGTGTTGGTAGCATGCATGTTATATTGCTTCAGAGAAAGAATACAGCCTGTGGAGAAAAGGTTGCATTTGCTAACATCTGGTGCGCTTGTTAGAAAGAAATGAACATGTGAATTTGCAGTCAGCAGGTGTTTTAATAGAAGAAGGTATTTAGGTGGGTTAGTTCTGTAGGTCTGAACATGTGATGTGCTGTCTATCCTACGTACCTTTGTAAAATTGGCGATGAATTGGCCAGAAGTGAGTAATGTAGGTAATACTGTGTATCTTGGGCCACATTTTCCTCATCTTAAGAATACTGAAATAGCAGTATTGAAATGTACTGAAATGGTGAAAGATCTTCAGGTCAGAAGGTGCATGACAGAGTACTGAGTATTGTTGTAATCATATATATAATAAAGATTTCATGTGATATGACTTGAAAAAAGCAAGTAAATAAAATGAGTGTTTTATGTGTTACCTTCTTTTCTTGGGGGTGTAGGCTGTTTTAAAAATTGTTTTTCCTTCTCAGTCAGGTGGCTGAGTGTCTGGATTAGGAGACATTAGATTCATTTTCAGAATCCGAAGATAGGTCAGTGTATTGCTGATGTCTAGGTCCTTCGAATGTTTAGATGACATTTAATAAAGTGTACTCATATAACCTTAGCAACTGTGTGTTTTAAATGATAGTTAGAAAACCATGTCAGTTCTTTCAATGTCATCATCATCATCATCATGGCTTGACTTCGCGAACGAAGATTTGGGAAGGGCTTTTACCCATGCTTACTACAAGCGCGCTGATGACTAAGAAGGCCAATGTGGGATAGGCAAATCCGGCTACAAAAAGCACAGCAGAAGGTCTCCTTGGGTAGTATAGGTGGGGCGCGATTCTTCCTGCGTTGTCTTTTCTCCTCGAGACTAGTTCTTCGTGAACTCTCAAAGGAGTCAGCGGCATTATGTATGGTGTGCCTCCAAGTCTCCTGATTGGAGGCCAAGGTGGACCACTGGTGGTAGTCAATATGGCCAAGGCTAAGGTATTGTTTCAGGGAGTCCTTATATCTCTTCTTTGGGGCACCTCTCTTGCGGCTAAAATATAGTAAAAATACAATATTGTGTGTTCTTTAGGTTGTTTTTTATCTTCTTTTCTCTTTTATCAGCTTTAGAATGCTAGCTACAGGGCAGATCACCATATGAAAGCATTACATGAAATAACATTGACATTTTTGATACTGAAAACCAAGAAGTCTCTGTTCCCTGGAAACATGTAAAGCAGAGTGAATAATATTAATATTTGGTCTAAATGCAGAGCAAACTGATTAATACTCCAGGAACATTCTTTTTACCTCTTCCTAACACAGATGAAACATTAGGTGGTGAAAGTTCCTTTCGTATGTCTGTTAATACGAACAGCATTGGTTAGCCATAGGTAAATGTGAGTAACGTTTGAAATACATATTCAAAGATAACCATTTCTTATAATTTATGATTTAGCTGTTGTGTAAGTTACTGCATAGAATAGAAGATGCTGTCTCTTTTCAGTAAGTCCAAGAACTTTTGTACGTTTACTGTTCAGTGTATTTCTGAACAGAAAAAGATGATGTATTTTAAAAACATCACTGTGCATTTGTATTTGAAGGTCTCTGGGTAGTTATGTGACTATTTGAGGAAAGACTTTATTCAGCATGCTGACTTTGGTCAGTGTCGTGCAGGGAATGCTATTGTATTAAATAGAAGTAGTATAGTGTAGATGAAGATCAGGTGTATTAACTTGTTTTCCTAGGATTCTCTTCCAAACTTTGGTTAGCCATTCCATTCTAGATAATTTATGTACTGAAGGTATCATTATGTTGTTGTGTATTTGCAGTATGGCAGGCAGTACAAAGTAGTATTGTTTTGTTTCCTTTCTTTTCTTCTCCCCTCTTTTAAATCTGTTTTTTGTTCTTTCTTTTTTCCCCAATGTAGCTGCGGAAAATAGGAGGTGGAGGATTTGGAGAAATCTACGATGCACTGGACTTGCTTACTCGGGAAAATGTTGCACTGAAGGTCGAATCAGCTCAGCAGCCAAAGCAAGTGCTGAAAATGGAAGTAGCCGTGTTGAAGAAATTGCAAGGTAGGGCTGTACCCTGGATACATCAGGAGTAGAATGTCAGTGTTGGAAAATCATTATAATCTCTACTTAGTCACAGTTTGAGTAAGTATTCCCATGTTCTGCAGGTTATTGGTAGATGGTTATTTAAAGTGGAATGAAAGCTCTTTTAGCTTCTGAAAGTTTTGCTCCAATAAACCTTTTATCTGAAGCTGGATGACATGAAAATAAAAAGAACAGAAAGAACATTAAATAGCTGCAAAACCTGTGCTCAACTGGAGTTTATTCTGGATCCATATCTTCTTACCTTGTTTGCTCTATACTTCACTGTTGTTGTTAGCTTTTTATTTCCCCTTCTAAGATGGTATCTGTTTTTTCCTGTACTATCTAGCACTGAATATTTGTGGGTCCTTTACATAGCATCCAGGATAAAAATATTAAATACTTGTAGAAAAAAAATGACTGGTTTGTAGAGTCCTGAAATACTTTCAGGGTTCAGGTCGTTAAGAATCACAGCTTTGAATAGTCACTTTTGATGTACCTTTACTTTACTCTCTGAAGCTACCAATATAGAGAAATATGCAATGGCTTCTCTTCACTGCTTTTCACAACATAGGATTATAAAAAGAATGTTTAAAGGGTAACTTTCTTTCTTTAAAAAATTATTTTGAATCTGGAAGATTTGACTAATACATCCGTCCCTGTCAGCAGCCCCATTTTCCTAAACTCTTAAGTTTGAATAAAACAAAATCTGCATGACATATGGTGCTGCCTAATCTGCTGCAAAGGTCACATTGCAGCAGCAATTGACAGCCTCTATAGATTTAAGAGGGCAAACATGTCACATGTTATAGTGTTAACAAACTGTTCCAATGTTTCTATCTTTTTAAAGAATCTCACAAATTATATAGTCAAGCAAGGAGTTCAGGGATTGCATGTTTGCTTTCTTTGAATTCTAGAGTTTCCAGTCTAGAGATGAACAGTGAGTTTCAATATTATCAATTGTAAATTTAGAAACCGTTTGTAAAGGGTTTTGAAAAAAATTATCTTAGTGAGTTTTGAAGAAACGAATACTCTGTAACTACGGTATTCTTAAATGCTCAGAATTAAGTTTTCAAGGGTTTTTTTTTTTCCGTACACACATGGCCTTGATTCTATTTTTAATAAAACCCAGTCTTTAAAACAGTGTAAGTGAAACAGCCAAAGTAATAGCAAAAATAGTAATAACTGAAATGAAATACTGGAATTTGGTAGCACTACAATGCCAGCATATTTGTAAAAACAGCCTTATATATGTCTGGATAGCTGGTGTATCAGAACTTTCTACTGTGAATTCATGTGTAGTAGAGTTAAGATATTACAAAAACACTTTTTTCTTAGTAAAAACTTTTTTACATTTTGAAATATTTCTGGAAAATGATTATTTGCTGAAATTATAAAAAAATTGGCATAGGAACTTACAGAAATCATTTTCTTATCAGTCTTCCTCTGGGAGTATAATTCCATTAACGACTCAAGTCCTTCTGCAGTGGCCCTACTGAGTTATGGGAAATCCTGTCTAGTTGGAAAGAACAGACTCATGAAACACCTGAACAACAGATCCACTGAGGCAGATAGTCCAATTAATATATAATCCAAATAAAGATCTTTCAGTTATTTATTTTCTCAATAGTATTTCTCTGAGAAAACGATAAATAGAAGGGTTTTCTATATAACCGAAACCCTGATTTTGCATGGGATCTTTGAAGGAGCTCTTTTGACATCCTTCCTTATGGGAAATCAATCTAAGTATCATGCCTTCATTTTTATCTTTTTAAAATTGTTTTGCAAAATTTAAACAGGACCTCCCCCCACCCCCCCATATTAAAATAAGAAGTTAGTGATTCCATGATGATAACACTAGAGGCGACCTTTAATCATTGCTGCACAATTACCATAGTACAGTGCAACTGCTCTGGTTTTAGGTAGGGAATGTTCTAGATAATCATGAAAATGACTACAATAAGAGGTGAATCAAGAGTGAAAATATTGAGATTTATAGTTTGCACAGATACGTAACTTTGTTTTTACATGCATATATTTTTATCCATACTTAAAAGAATTTTTATTGAATAATACTATGGTAGAGACCATTTTATGTTTTACCTAAAACTTGGCTTCTAGGAGCCATTTCCATTAATTTTTCTACCTTGCCAAGTTTTCAGTCATGCAAGAGCTAAACATCTGAAGCGGAGAGATTAAACAAGAAAAATAGACAAAAATGGGGAGTAGAAACCATCGTTATTATTGCTTCTCGAAAAACATTTTTTTATTGAATGCTTAATTTACGATGTAGAAATTTTTCTTATTTTTGACAAGATTTTTTTCTTGCAGTTTCCGTGCAGGTGAAATTGTAAACAGTTCTTTCAGGCTATTTTTGTAACAACCTTGTAATAGCATACATCCTCTGAGACCAACTTTTATCTTGTTCCTCCATCCCTTTTTGGCATGTGTGTCTATATATATGTATGTATATAATTATTACCTTTTTCTCAAAGGACTTCTGTTCACTTACTTTCAAGGTGTTCTAGTTATCTTGGGTATAAATCAGAGGAAGGAATGTAACTGTCATGAAAATCCTTTTTCTTGCAAATATTTGGAAAGTCTGGTCTACACATAGTGTGCGATGAGAGTAAGGGAGCTGACAGTGTAATTCAGAGCTCTCTTGATGTGTGGATCTGATTTTTTGGATGCATTTTTTATCACATACAATTTCTGGGAAAGTTATGAGGAAACAGGATTTTAGGAAAGAATTAAATGAACAGGTATAATATGTCTCAAACCAGCAAAACAGCTCCTCCAGTCTTTACTAGAGCTAGGCACATTCTGAAGGTTGTAAACATGCTTTTGAGTGTTTCTGTATTAGATTTCTATTTCACAAACTGTGAAACTGAGATGCGAATAGCTGTTGGCAGAAGCACAGGGATGTACTGTTAATATTATTTCTGTTTTCAGAAATGTTGAAAATTAAAACAGTGTGGGCATTCGTTGTGGGGTTGATATCAGTCATAACTTTGTAGATGTGTCTCTTTTAAGACCCTGACCTAACAAAACATGCTTAAATATGTGAGTAGTTTATGACTTCTCTCTTAATTATGAAGGAGGAGTATGTTCACCAACATGGCCATTTTTATCACAGCTTAGTCATCAATTGCATCTTTGATTTCTTCGTTTGTATATTTATTATTTATTCCCTGCCAATGATGCTGTCTCTTGATTATTGTTGTTGGAATCCTGTTTAACTCTTTAAGCTCTGGTTTTGTCTTTTTTGTGTTTTTTTTTAAAGTAATCTGCTGCAACAGATGGTTGTTTTGTTTAATCATGTTGTTAGGCCATCTGTTCCCACAGTCAGATGGGAAAAGACAGATTTATCGCATCTCACTCAGTGAGAGTGAGACTCACTCAGTTGGTTTCCGTCTCACACAACCTTACAGACATCTCCCTCATTCATTTACAGCTCTCTAGCATAATTTAGTGATGGGTTGCATCTGCTGTAGGCTGAAAAGCTAGCTGTAGTGCTACACTGCAGCCTGGGGTGGAATGGCATGTAGGCTTCAAACCCTCCCTGTGAAGCTTTTCAAGGGCAGTTGTTCACTGCAGCCTATTGCCAACTTCTTCATTCCCTGCTCCCCAGTCATGTGGCAGGTGTGAAAAAAAAACTGTTTTGTCACTGTTTTGTCACTGAGGGAAAAGGAACTGAAGGCATCTACAAGGGTGTAGTAGGTATGTATAGCCACACTGGAGTGGCAAAGGATCATAGAGTCATAGAATGGTTTGGGTCGGAAAGAACCTTAAGATCATGTAGTTCCACCCCCCCCTGCCATGGGCAGGAATGCCTCACACTAGATCAAGTCGTTCAAGGCCCTGTTCAGCCTGGCCTTGAACACTGACAGGGATGGAGCATTCACAGCTTCCTTGGGCAGCTTGTTCTAGTGCCTCACTAGTCTCACAGTAAAGAATTTGTTCCTTATATCCAACTTAAATCTCCCCTATATAATTTTGAAGCCATTGCCTCTTGTCCTATCACTAGAGTCACTGATGAAGACTCCCCCCCGGCATCCTTGTAAACAACCTTCAGATACTGGAAGCCTGCTATGAGGTCTCCATGCAGCCTTCTCTTCTCCAGGCAATTTGAATAAGGTGTACAGGCCCTACTTCTGTTCCTTCCTGTGTTCTCAGATTTTAGAAAAGTTATTTTCCAGAGAAGTTACCATGTAGCTGAAGTTGCTGCTCAGTTAAAATAGGGCTTCTCTGACGAAACCAAGTTTTTGACATTTACTGGATTTGTCAGATGAAATCCAGCTGATACATGTTTCTCTGGAGATGTTCCTTCAGCATACCCAGAGTGGCTGTAAAATGAATCATAAATATTTGAGATGAGACTTCATTAACTGCAAACTGCAGCAATGAATATACAAGATTTCATCTTGATAAATTTGCTGCAAATCTTTTTTCTTCATAAAATGATAGTGTCTGTAATATTGCCTGTCTCATTAAAACAAATGGGTAGAAGGAAAAAGTAGAGGAAAATAAATGATACTTACAGCTTAGTACTTATATATTTGCAAAAGTGTTTTTTTCTTTAAAAATAATTCTTTTAAGAAGTTTTTATGAATCCTGTCCCATTATCTTTGTTTTAATTATATGTTGCAGGGAGCTTTCTGAGGAAGCAATAAACAGACAACTGCTCTTCAAGCAAAGTGAGAATACTCAGATGCAGTATGGCCAAGTTTTTAGGGTTTTCATGGAGCTATGATTGCAGCAGTAACAAAAAGTCCCCCCAGATCTGTAGGCAGCAGTAATAGTGTTTTGAAAGGAGTAATGGTTTGGGGTTTATTTTGCAATTTTAATTGGTTTTCTCCCATCAATGGCATTCTGCTAATCCTAAGGGTAAAAGAAATTAATGAAAGAAACCTTAGGTGGCAGAAATTTTACTCGGGTTTAGCAGCCACTTTCTCTTGGCCGTACCTTCCACTGTGACAGAAAGGAAGGTAAATGGCCTGAGGGACTTAAACCCTGCAGTCCCTGTTCTGATGTAGAGTGGGGTCATAAGGGATCCCAGCCTCTCTCCAAGCCAGTAAACACTGATACAAAAATGACAGTGAGATTTCATTCCCCTTCTGTTTGCCTTCTGTAGTCTTTGGCTTGCCTTTTTCTCTCTGCCTGGAAAATCTTAGCATTTGACTTATCAACTACAGGATACTAAGGAGATTATTTTTGAGCAGCCTTCTTCTCTTCCACAGTTTGCTCCTAGAACAGGAGGAGGCTTTAAAGAAAATTGGCTTAAACCAAACTCTGATTTTTTTTTTTATTTTATTTTTTAACTGCTACATTCTTTTGTCTCTGCTTCAGTGTACCTGGGCTGAATTTGTCTGCTGTAGCTAGACAGCAAAGATATGTTCTAGAAGAAGATATTCACAAATCAGATTAGTTGAATTACATTTTCTACCTTTGTTTTTTTTTTAATACAAAACATGACCCACAGGTAACTACTGCTCTTTTCTTTCATTGCAGCAGCTGCAGCTTGTACAAAACCAGAAATGATGGCTAGGAATATTGTCTAGTACAAGTCATCATCTTTGCAGGAGAATAACCTTTCTCAGTCTGCAGTGCCTCAAATTTGTGGACATTTAGGATCATAGAATAGTTAGGGTTGGAAATGACCTTAAGATCATCTGGTTCCAACCCCCCTGCCATGGGCAGGGACACCTCACGCTAAAAACTGTGTCACTCAAGGCTCTGTCCAACCTGGCCTTCAGCACCGCCAGGGATGAAGCATTCATAACTTCCCTGGGCAACCCATTCCAGTGCCTCACCACCCTTACAGTAAAGAACTTATTCCTTATATCCAATCTAAACTTCCCCTGTTTAAGTTTTAACCCATTACCCCTTGTCCTATCACTACAGTCCCTAATGAAGAGTCCCTCCCCAGCATCCTTATAAGCCCCCTTCAGATACTGGAAGGCTGAGGTCTCTCTGACCTCAGACCTCTGACCTACTGTGGTCTCCACGCAGCCTTCTCCACGCTGAACAGTCCCAACTTTCTCAGCCTATCTTTATATGGGAGGTGCTCCAGTCCACTTATGATCCTCGTGGCCTCCTCTGGACTTGTTCCAACAGTTCCATGTCCTTTTTATGTTGAAGACACCAGAACTGCACACAATACTCCAAGTGAGGCCTCACGAGAGCAGAATAAAGGGGCAGGATCACCTCCTTGGACCTGCTGGTTATGCTCCTTTTGATGCAGCCCAGGATACGGTTGGCTTTCTGAGCTGCGAGCACACGCTGAAGCCAGCTCATGTTCATTTTCTCATTGACCAACACCCCCAAGTCCTTCTCTGCAGGGCTGCTCTGAATCTCTTCTCTGCCCAACCTGTAGCTGTGCCTGGGATTGCTCCAACCCAGGTGTAGGACCTTGCACTTGGCATGGTTAAACTTCACGAGGTTGGCATCAGCCCACCTCACAAGCGTGTCAGGGTCCCTCTGGATGGCTTTCCTTCCCTCCAGCGTATCAGCTGAACAACACAGCTTGATGTCGTTGGCAAACTTGCTGAGGGTGCACTCAATCCCACTGTCCATGTCAGCGACAATGATGTTGAACAAGACCGGTCCTAACACCGATCCCTGAGGGACACCACTCGTAACTGGTCTCCAGCCGGACATTGAGCCATTGACCACAACTCTTTGTGTGCAGCCCTCCAGCCAGTTCTTTATCCACTGAGTGGTCCATTCATCAAATTGATGTCTCTCCAATTTAGAGACAAGGATGTCATGTGGGACAGTGTCGAACGCTTTGCACAAGTCCAGGTAGATGACATCAACTGCTCTACCCCTGTCCATCAGTTCTGTAGCCCCATCATAGAAGGCCATCAAATTGGTCAGGCAGGATTTCCCCTTAGTGAAGCCATGCTGGCTGTCACCAAGCACCTTGTTTTTCATGTGCCTTAGCATGCCTTCCAGGAGAATCTGCTCCAAGATTTTGCCAGGCACAGAGGTGAGGCTGACTGGTCTGTAATTGAGTCATCCATTTTCCCCTTCTTGAAAATGGGGGTTATATTTCCCTTTTTCCAGTCATCAGGAACTTCACCTGAATGCCATGATTTTTCAAATATGATGGCCAGTGGCTTAACAACTTCATTTGTCAGCTCCTTCAGGACCCGCGGATGGATTTCATCAGGACCCATGGACTTGCGCACATTCAGGTTCTTAAGGTGGTCTTGAACCAGACTTAGACATGTTGCTGTGCATACTTTCTTGTGGAAGAATGATAAGTGTGGTAGGGCTGCATATTTTATGGGACAAAACATTTGATTAATTGGGGGTAGAACTGGCATAGTTTTTACAGCTGTTCAACCATGGGAGGTAGGGGACTTAGTTTATTAAAGGTCTCTAAAGAAAAGTAACTGTCTCTTACAGTAATTTGATAGGTATTTAAAGGAATTAACTACAGAATTTCATTATTATTATCTAATCTTCTTTTTCTCTCAGGAAAAGATCATGTCTGTAGATTCATAGGATGTGGAAGGAACGACAGATTTAACTATGTGGTCATGCAGTTGCAGGTCAGTGTGTCAAACAGTTCAAAGTTTGCTTGTGTTTTTTGATTCATTAGCCAAGCGTATATGAAAATAGTAGCAAAATTTTAGAAAAATAAAAAAAAAGATATGCATAACAGTGAACAAAACAAAACTGAGGATATCCTTATATCTTTATCCTTTTATATCCTTTCCATAGTTCTCTCAGAAAGACTTGACTGTTGAAACAGTGAACTATGATGAGATAATTCACATTTCTTTGCATAGTATATTTTTCATCTGTTTGGTTAAATCATCTGAGATATACTGTATAATTAAGTAATTTAACATACTTCCCTTGAAAGAGGTGAATGTAAAGAAGCCTTTGTGAGCAGTTTCTCAGTAGCCTTTTTTCAGGTGTGACACAGATACAATATTAACTAGTAGTGTATCTACTAGTGTTCTGACAGAGAATAGTTTTGTAGAGTAGAAAGATACTAAGATTCGTATTTCCAAAAACAGTTTTTAAATATAATGTTGGAAATACTGGGGGACATATTATATTTAGGGGAGATGAGTTATCCTTGAATATGGCAAGTGAGAGTATTCTGCAGTTACCACGAACAGCTGAAGAAGTAGTATGAAGCCTTTACTATCTGTGAATCTTGGTATTAGTATTTTTTTATGTAGACGCCTTTTTAATTTGATCAGGGTCGGAACTTGGCAGACCTGCGTCGGAGCCAGTCTCGAGGAACATTCACCATTAGTACCACTTTACGGCTTGGAAAGCAGATTTTGGAATCTATTGAAAGTATTCATTCTGTAGGATTTCTGCACAGGGATATAAAACCGGTAAGTCTGCCCATTAAATGAAAACAGGCAGGTAATATGTGGTCATTAGGTGACTGCATGAATAAGAACAGGTTTTATACTAGATGCTAAAATGAAAAAATGGGAAGGGACAGAAAATGTTCATATTTTTATATAAAAATCTATATATTCATCACAAACAAGGAAAGTAAAGAAAAACTATGACAAAACTATTCAATAATTTTATTGGAATTGCACAGTAAAATATGTTGTCAAATTGTCATGAGTATAGTGCCTTTCTGATAGCATCGTGCTTTTGTTCTTAATATTTTGTCTGTTTTCCTTTGAATCTATTACTGAAATTGAATTTTCATTTTCATGACTTCTTCCTTGCAACTTTAAAAAAACCCCACTTGTATTCTGCCTGACCCACCCCCAAGACTTCATTTAATGCAGAAAGGACATGGAGGCAGTGAATGTCAAATGAAATACATGAGGAGGAGTTAGCTGGAGTGCAAGGCTTTAATGATGAAAACTATTAGAGATTTGAATGGGAAATACGTTCCTTCATGGCTGCTGGAATTGATTGGCGACATCTTATTAACTAGCTCTGTCTTGGAGTCCATGGGCTCAAATAGAATGGAAATGGAGAATGCTGTTAGGGGATGGAAAAAACCCAGAAAATGAAATGTTCAGCCAGGATAAACAGCAATGTGAAGCAATATATTAGATTCGTAAAAGAAAGAATTTTTCTTCCCCTTTAGAGATTATGCTGTGACCTACACATGCGAAAGAAAGCATGATTGCTTTCTAGCATGCAGTTTTCTTGGCTGAAAAATACAGGTCCATTTTATCTTTTGTTACGTATCTTCTAGATGGATTATACAAAAAGCAAGCTTTGTGCTGAACTGAAATCTTGAAATCCTTGCTTGGTTTTTTTGCTTCATGATGAATTAGGCAATGCTGAAATTCTCTTCCATTTAAAAGCAATGTTGATCACACTCATTTCAGTTCATGGTTTTGAGTGGGTTTTACCCTCAACCTTACACACTGAAGCAGCTGTGAATTTCAGGTTTATATAGAAGAGTACTGCCGTTTCACATAATGGAATAAGAAAACTATTTTTTCAGAGTTAATTGCATTAAGCTTCCATCTTTCTCAGAATTTCAGTTCCATTTCACAGGGCTTGTTTTTAGCTTGATATTTTAAACCATGTCATCCATTTTAAGGGAATTTGGTGGGGAGAGACTTGAACCAGTTCAGCCAACATGTTCAAACATCATAAATTTGCAGTGTTGAAGAATTTTGTTAAAGGTTTAACATGGAATGTTAATCCATAAAGGAAAATGAGAATATTTACTTGAGATTTTCAGAATTACCTCCCTAAGTCCTCACTGACTTTCCAGCTCTTACTGTTCGGATATTTTGGTGTGTGTTTGGCTCGTTTATTTATTTATTTATTTTTATTCCCCTTAAACCTGGTTCTTCTTTGACATGTCCAGATCAAAATGTATGAGTGCTTTCCATGACTGGAAAATTCTTTCTACAAATTAATATATTCTAAGTGCTGAAGTAAGTTGACAATCTCCTGTTACCATATAGGCTGCTGTTCAGATAAGCTGAGTTGGCTGTGTGATTTTCTTCATGTTTTTTTCAAATTTAATGGGAGTTTAGTAGAACTGAAAATATGGAAGAAAATAGGAAGAAAGAATAGATAAGTAGAAGTGTCTGTGATTGTGTTACTGCATTAGTATGTGCATGTATTGAAAAGTGTGTGTGTACATCTATGTATCTGTTTGTGTTTGTTTTTTTTTTTCTCAGTCTAACTTCGCAATGGGACGTTTTCCTAGCACCTGTAGGAAGTGTTATATGCTGGATTTTGGCTTGGCACGGCAATTTACCAACTCATGTGGGGATGTCAGACCAGTAAGACTTTTTTACAGTTGTCAATTTGATTAATTGAATGTGGTAATATGCTGTCTTTTTTCTGGGGAAGTATGGAAATTGCATTGAACTGGTCAGTGGGCTAAACTTGACAAACATCACTCCAGATCAGAAATGCCATATGATTTATTGATTATATTAAAAGATTGGCAGTCAGGAATCAATTATGATTCTGATTTTTGTCTTGAGGCAGAGGTGTAGTCTGTGATATTTTTGGATAATTTATCTTTTGGTTTATAAAATCAAGTGGCAAATAGGATTTCATTAAATATCAGAGTACTACGCAGAGGCTGAATTTCACTTGGTATTATATGTTGCTTTGAAAAAAAAATCTATGTGAGAGAAAAAAGTCATACACTAAACTGAATATATAATCTTCTGAAAGTCTTGAGTAATTCAAACAGTGATAGGACACTAATTATACTAGGTAGTGGGACATAGTTAAATGTATTTGCTGTATTCCCACGCAATGCAGTCTAAAGAAAATTGTAGATAAAAGTGTACCAATTGAGGACATGACAATTTTAAGTACAGTAGAGCCTCACTAATTCGCTGGTGGGCAGTCCCATTGTTGATGTCAAAGTTTGAAAATGAGCAAGTCGTGATACATGATGGTATTTTAAAGAAACATATTTTCTTTATTTAACTAGTTTAGTTTACATTTTGATGGTAGTAATAATAATAACATACTAGTCAACATCACGTAGCATATTTATTAATGTGATTAGATTTTGAATGAGAGAAGCCGTTTCTACAGATCTTTTGGTTTTATTTTGCCATGGAAGTTGGGAAGATGGCAAGTTTTTGTGTGCAAATGATGAGGTATGTGAATCAGTAAGGTAAATTAGCAGGGTTCTGCTGTACTCTATTCCTTCAGCCATAATGCTGGACACTGCAATGAAAGCAAAGAGCAGGGGAGACCAACAGAGTGGCTGCTGCTGTTGGAAAGGTGAGCTAAACATTTTAAGTAGTTTTTAAAATTCTTTTTTATTTCTCAGTGTTCTTGTCGTGTTCTGTATGTTTGGCTACTTATAATGTTTTTTTTCTAACTGACCTGTAATTTCAAAGAGAAAACAATTCCCAAGATTCTGTAATTTGTATAAACACCAATGGTACTATTTTCAGGAAAAAATAGGTGATAACAATGTAAAATTTTTCTGCTATTCTTTCTTTTCTAACAATTCAGCTCTTGCCTTTTGTTTTTCATTGCAGTGCCCTACAGTGTAACTGAAGTAATTCTTCAATTTAATCTGTTTAGAATGTTCTGACAGGGTAATCCATATTAGTAGAGTGGCAGTGAGGGGAAAAAAATAAAAGACTCCTGTGTGGACAGCAACCACAGTGTGACCTTGCTTAAACCCCCAAATTATTAATATTTTCATTAAATGTGCTGTGTGCTTCTTCTTAAGGCTATCCTTCTTCTAAACGTCACTAGATTTCTTCAGCAGATACTGCAAATAGCCTGGAACAATGTAAAAGCATATTCTCTAAAACACATAGTACTCTACTGATAAGAAACTGTTCCTTAGTTAAGGTTAATTACTAGACTTTTATGATGAGTCTAATTTTCTACGTGCCTGACTTCTGCAGAAAGAATCCAGTCCCACTGAAATTTTACATATAACCCCTCAGTCCTTGAATTTCCAAGATGTGATTTAAAAAAATCGGAAGAGAAGCTTTGGAAATTCTAGTATCAGGTTTTAGTCCTTTGGCAGCTTTGTGTTTTCCTCAACGATAAGGAAATCCTCATGGCCAGAAATCTGTTTATTCAACTCAAAAAGATGGAAGAGGCTTATATGGATACTATTGAAAGCAGAAAATTTTATGCCAAGACTATTTCCATCCAGAAATCATTGGCCAGCACCACTGGCTAGCATATACATTCCAACAGGTGGAGATAAAAAAATTGAGTCAGCTTCAAGACTGGTAGAGAAGAAAGGTGTTGTGTAGTTCTTTGACAAAATGCAACTCAAGACTGGTAAGAGGTTTGAAACTAAAACACAATTTCAAGTTTAAATTATTAGAAGTTTTGTAGTATAAATCTTGTTATAAATATAGTATTTACTTGACTGAAGTTCAAACAGGAAGTTGAAAAGAGGTCCTTATGGTGAGGAAGACTTTTATTGTGTGAAATCAGGTCAGGAAGCAATGAGGAAATGAGAAATTTAGCAAAGCATTAAGCTACCCAGAATTCATCATCATCATGGCTTGACTTCGCGAGCAAAGATTTGGAAAGGGCTTTACCCACGCTTACTACAAGCACGCTGATGGCTAAAAAGGCCAATGTGAGATAGACAAATCCTGCTGCAAAAAGCACAGTGAAAGGTCTCCTTGGGCAGTATAGGTGGGGCGCGATTCTTTCTACGTTTTGTTTTCTCCTCAAGACTAGTCCTGCGTGAGTTCTCAAAGGAGTCAACGGCATTATGTATGGTGTGTCTCCAAGTCACACCCAGCATTAGCCTCTTAGTTAGTACCAGTGCATTGTGCTAAGACACAGAAATGCAGCAGTTTCATACGAATTCAGTGTGATAAGGTGTTCTTGTTTCAGATCTGTTATACAAAGAGGAATTATAAAACTTGGGAATCCATGGTTTTATTCCCATATTTGGCTGAAGTATGTGCCAGTGGGTACTGATATGTTAAACCGTCCATTTGGACCCTTCTGTGTTTTTGATGAGCCTGTGCTTACTCTACTCTGAATCTTTTCTCTCTCCTCTCTGGTTTCTTTTCTACAGCTATGTCCTCATATTGCTTTGCTTCTAGTTAAACTAACTTCTCTTCTTGCAGTTTTGGTGCCCACTGGAATAGTTCAGTGCAACTAAGTGACATTTTCTTTGCCCTCAGTTTCTTTTCCTTGCACCACAATGAGACCTGAAAGCATTCTGAAGGAGTGAGAGAAAACAAATGCAGGCCGTTGCAGCTCTGGATTGAATTATGCCTCATGACAGACAGAACATTTGAAGAATTTAGATGCCTCATTCAGACAAGGCTGTATTGAGTTTGTGTGAAATGTATTTTTCTGAAAGCTCAGGCATAGTGAGTGTTGGATGGCTAGTAGAATGTTCCTTGAGATCATCATGGCACTCTCTCAAATCCCTCCTGGTCTGTCTTCATTCTAAGGCACTCTGGGAATACATACAGGCTTCCTACAAGTTATTGTTGGGGTTAAGAAACAAACATCAGTTTCAGCTGCATTCAAGAACAGTTTGAAATTATTTGCTGAATTAAAAGCAAACAGCTACAAACCCAGTTATTAACATGAGGAATTTCAGCTTAAATTGGTAATATGAAGGAATTTTCAAGTGGCTGAATACAGGATCTTATATGGAAAGTGGTGGCCAATGCTTAGGTATAGGTTTTACTACAGGTGCCATATACGATACATTGGCAGTGAAGTTCACAAATGGGCAGTAGTGCTAATGGGTCTGGAGAAATTGCAACAATATTGCTATAGAAAAAGTTTGCACTTTAAAGTAAAAATGAAGATTCATTCAGGTTAGAGAATTTAAATGTTTTGGTACTCTGTAGTAATTACTTTTTTGTTTCACATTGTTATTACAATAGTTAGCAAACATGCCTATTCTCACTGCAGAAAATTCATTGATGACACAGATGCTTCCCTGAAATGGATATGGTTCTGCCTTCTCTTTTTTATGGTGTAGATGTTCTAAAGGTTAGTTTCTTCATGTGCACTAACATGAAGAAACTGTCTATAATATTCAAAACTCTTAGTCTATGGAACTAAGTCTCCCACACATCATATTAATTTAAATGCAGGGTTTTAATGAGTTATCATAGCCTCTTTTGGGACAAGTTTTACAGTAGCATTGAACATATTTGTGTTCAGTGGAGTCTGTTTTCTCATCTTGCTGCCATGCTTTCCTACCCTCCATAAATGACAGCAGAATTAAGTTATAAGCAGCTCTATTTTCCATGATAAATTAAATTATTCCCTAGAGTAAATAGATGTTATTACAGCAAAAATTGCTCCCAGGAATTTTGTGCACTGTAGGCAAAGAAAGCCTTTGTTTAAGTACTGCTTATTTTAGTTCAACTTGAGTGTAATCTCTCTTTTCCTCCTTTGTGGGAGCACTGATTTCCTGAATTCTCATTTAGTTGTTATTTATTGTGAAAGAGAGGTTTTAAAATGAGCCATTTGACACATTAATGAGAATAAAAATGTATTCAAATTTATGAGTTACTGTGAAATATAATAACTTTTATCTCAGTATTTTGTTTCTTCTGCTGTTGTTTACCGTAAGTAGTGTTTATGACAAAGTTCACAACAAATAAAGAGACTCTGATTCAGTCTGCCTTGAAGTCAGCAGTGACTCATATATTAGTAAGTTAAAATTCATTTAATTAATGCGTATTTTTAACAAAATATCTGGAGATTATAATATGATCAAGCTTGCAAAGAAAATTGTGTCAGTAGATTAGTCTGCAGTTGAAAGAACATATTTAGCTTGTCTTTAATGAGAAGTGTCAGGATCCAGAATTTTAAGATTTCTGTAATTATGCCATCAGAACTAAGTTACAGCTTCTCCCATGCCATGAGATGACATCTCATCTATCGTCATCATCTTTTCCTATGATGGTTTTTCTTTTCTGCATTACTAGCATTTGTCTTCTGTGATTCTAGTCAGCTTTCTCTCATTTTCTCATTCTTCTCCATTTTCCATTAATACAAGCCTTCAGCCTGCATCCACATAGTTTGTGCCTTTTTATCTTTGGTGACAGTCTTCCTTTATCTGACTTTGCTCTGGCTCCAGCTTCTTTCATAATTTAATTTCAAGTCTTCTTTCTTCAGCATATATGTCTCTAGGTTTTTGTACCCTCCTTTTACCCTTTATCTTCAGATAACCTCATTCATAAACACATTTTTTTTATCTCTAGGCACATGATTCATGTTCATGATATCCCTGTTCCAATACTGCTTCTTTCTGTTCCAGCTAAAACACTGCCATCTATTTCTAGTATCC